CCTCTCACAGCCACTGATGGGTCAGGTCCCCAGGGGACATGGGCCAGCAGGAGCCTGCCCTGCGTATCCTCACACCCTGAGACAAATCTGCCCCTCCGCTCTCCAGACCCGGGAAAAGAGACACTGGAGCAATATCAGACCCAGACCCGACACCCCTGAGCCAATGCTTCTGAGTTTTGGGGCTGCAACTGCGCTCCAGGCTGCTCAGGCTGATACAGTGAGTGAACGATCAGGGTAGGCCTGGGGTGGGGGAGGTGAAAGGAATCTGCAGTCTGAGTAGCAGCAGAACCCCCGTTGTTCACCTGAACCCACATTTCCAGATGGCAGGTCATTCCTGCCAGGGCTCAGGGTCACAGCGTCCAGACCTGTCTTTGGCCAACCAAGCCGCCCCCAATTCCAGCAAGAAGCAGCTATTTCTAAGCCAGAAATCTCAGTGGGAGCTGACCACCCCCCGCTGCCCGCAGCCCTATCTGAGTCAGGTCAGGGGGTGTCCCCACTCGGGGGCGACCATGGCAGGCAGCACTGCGTGACGGACACACACCCCGTGTCGTGCTGCTGGCGACACTCTTGACAGTGAGGGAAGGGGCTGTGGGCTCGCACCAGCAGGCAAGCCAGGCGAGCAGCAGACACGGGGAAGAGGGGAGCGAGAGGCCGAGCTTTACAGCATCTGCCCGCCTGCCAGAGCCGCCCCGGCCTCCGGCCTGGCCTGGAGGTGGCCGATGGGCACGCTCAGCTCACGGGCAAAGATGGAGGAAAACCCGGCCCAGAGAGCTTGCAATGTTGGCATGTGACGAACGGGCTATGTTGGGTCTCGTGCGCCCAACACGACATCGTTTACAATGTCAGTGGTGGTGGAGCGTGGCTCTGAGACAGCAGCGTGGAAGGCAGTGACTGTGTGGAGCGCCCGCTCAGAGCAGGGCAAAAAAGCTAGGACAGGTCTCCTCGCTACAGATCAAGCGGCCTCCAAGCCTTCTCTGGTTTCTCCTTAACTGGGGACAGGTCCATCTCCAGGAAGCCCTGGAAACACACCTCTTGGCAGTTGCGTTTGCCTTAAGGCCCAGAAGCCACTGGGGTTTCCCTTGCCCAGGGCGGCGGCCCCCTTCGGCTCATAAAGGGCCGACTGCATAAAGGGCCACCGTGATGGCGCCCCGGCCCTGCCTATATAAGCCCGGTCCGGCTGCCCTGCGTGTCCTTAAGAGCCAGGAAGCCTCTGGATAGCGACCTGCAGACTCGGACGGAAGGTAGCGTGGTGGTGTGGTTTATGTGGTTTTCCTCTGGTTTTTTCTGTTTACTTATTTAGTTCTTTATTTTAGTTCTTTATTTTAGTTACTGTATTTTTATTTTTGTCTTGTTTTCTTGTATTGTTTTGTTACTTGCTTATTTTTTTTCTATTTTTTTCTTTATTATTTTAATTTGTGCTGTTTTATTTTAGTTTTTTATTTTTCCTTTTTGTGTCTCCTCCCCACCCCCCCACCCCGTCCCGTCCAGTCCCGTGTCCCTCCCTTCTCCCCCCTTTCCCCTTGTTATTTTGTCGTGTGTTCGTTTTTCCCTTTGTCGTGGTCTATTTTGTTGTTGGTGTCAGTTTCTAACTTGTTTGTCCTGTTGTGGTCTGTTCTTTGTCCTTGCTGTTGTTCTATGTTGTATTCGTGAATGTAATGGCTTGTTTGTGATTGGTTGTTTTGATCGTGTTTTTAAATGTTTATATCATTTGTATTTTTTTGGTTGTGTATGTTCATTTATCTTTGGTGTAAATAGTGTTAGTTCTAGTAAGGTTAGCATAGTAAGGTTAGTGTAGTTGTAGGTAGAGTTAAGGTAGCTTTGTTAGTATTTAGTTAGCTTAGTGGGTAATTTTGTATACTATTAATCCTATATTGTTAGTGTATTGTTTAATATAGTATAGCCCTTGTAAATACTATCGGGGAGAGCGTGAGGTCAGGAGAGGCAGCGCCAGGGCCGCCAGCGCAGTCAGGGCCGCGGGGACAGCCCGCCGGGTCCGCACTCGCTATGTTCAGGCCCTGCGCTCTCGGGCCCCCAGCATGAAAAACTACCGGGTGCTGCGCACGCTGGGGGCGGGCGCCCTGCGCCAAAGTCAAGCTGGCGCTACACTT